AGAAGATTTTCTGCTTCAAAGGCAACAATATGTTACGACCTGATAGAACCTACACTCTTGTTTGGCTTAGGTTTTGTACACTCAAAAAAGATTTACAGAAATTTGTTGATTTTACAGAACTATGCAATAACGAAAAATGTCATCTCCTTGACTTAATAGCTATTTATATTTGGCCACTATCAATCAAGTGCAAATGGGACAGAGATATTTTTTGCTTCAATCTTACATTAATCGTCAACGGTCGTTGAATATCAAGAAGCGAGCATTTATCATGGAAAAAGTGTGAGGTTGATTTACTATTTTCCGTCTCAAATCAGCCTGAGCTTTGTTTCAACTCTCATTACATACAGAAGATGGATTCACCCAATGGTTACTGTGCAAAAATTATTTTCTAAGAGGCGAACAGCTAGCTTGATGGTACAAAAGCAACCCACCATTGATTGGTGACACAGTATACTGTGGCTTGAAGTTGAGTAGGGCACCATTTCAAGGCGCAACCCACTTCTGTAGCTGCGGCGCGCATAAGCTGTAGTAAACATCCTGAGTACAAAGCTAACATGGCCAAAAATTAATTACATTAGCATATGATTTGCCATAGTATTTGTTCGGAGTTGAATAGTTTGATTTTACATAGATCACTCCCTCGGCGGTGCCAGTGAGCGGTTTTGAAGGAGAGCTAAACTGAGCCCACAAAGTTTGCTCTATAGTCGGAGTATCAAATCCGTTATCGTCGTTGTCGCTAAAACAAAGTGTTTATGAATCTAAGCTTGCACAATCTTGAAGATGAGGCCTTGCCGGCCAAGCTCTGTAACGTTTGCTTATTTATGACCGAGAGAGTTTCTTCGATGACGAAAGTCAAAGAAAGTGCAATAGCACTTTCGACCAGCTCACAAACTTTAAAAATCGTCCACCAATCGATCCAATGGATTTTATGTGCAAGGTGATTTAGCGGTGTTGTCTGACATCTCTAGCCATGCTACTAATGCTCGGTGAGATCTAACCATCTTTGCTCTGCTGTCTTCTAGAAGTCGTTTGCTATATAGTACAACAGCACTGACGTTTGACGATATGTATATGCATGGAGAAGTGAGAAGTGCAGCATGCAACGACGATGAGAAAGCGGACTTTGCATACTCTCACCAGGGTTCGATAAGGTGGCTTACTGGACGAGCTGGATATCGTTTTTGCGAAATCTAAAATGGAGCCCGGAAAAAATGCATGTATTGGCTTAGTGTGGTACATATGAAAAAATCGCCAATTGCCTTTTGCAAAATTGGAGTCTTGAGAGTACTACAAATAACTTCTAAAAATCTTTTCGATCAAGATAGCCAATCTAGAAATATTTTTATACAAGATTAGCTGGCGGTCCCGGTCTCACCCGAGATATCAAATTAGGACCAAATGTTAGGTAGGTGCCAAAAGCGAATATTTTGTTCAGGTTGAGGTCCCGCACAGAATTGACGTCACTTGTACGCCAGTATGGTGAGAGACGTCAATTCTGCGCGGGACCCCATGAACAAAATATTCGCTTACTCTGGCGCCTACCTTACTCACGCTTTCAAAGTTTTTCTACCATGCGCGAATAGCGCTTTCAAACGAACTGCCGCACTCTGCCGGCCTTGAGATTAGAAATGAGCTTTACCGTTCCTGCTCACATGTTATTGAAAAACGATTGTTTAGAGCATGTTAAACTTTTATTTTAATTCGCACATATGTGTAAACCAAACAAATCGATAGAGGAACGCCGCGAATCGCTGCGAAAAGTAGCCTGTAATCTACGCAGGGATCGAATACGTAAGTGTGTAAAGTTTCAGTTCAATCGGTTTAATGGCAAGTGTTTCTATGAAATAAGAACAATGAACCAGAACCTTGCAGGCATTGTGATTTAATTATATATAGATTAATCGAGTAAAAAAACTTCGAGGAGTCTGTCAACTTTACGCCCATCAACCCAACCAATTTTGCAGAACTCATATCCTTATAAACGAAACTTATCTCACCGCCATTGTTACATGCACACACATATATACTCCTTCCAACCTCTCCCCTCCCCCCTCTCCTCCCCCTTTCCCCACAATCACCCCATCCCTCTCTTCTAGGCCCGTATGCACGTACATCCCCACGGGGAGAGGAGGGGTTCTGAGAGGGGAATCGTCATATCTCGCTAGTCTGCATATCTCCTCTTCTTTCTCTGTCTTGCTTTTGAAGGTTCTCATACACTGATACTTGCGCATAACGGATGCCAGGTTACTGCCATTCAATATTAGATATATTCACTATTTCGTTTGATTTTCTGAGGATCCCCGGTGGATCACCTCACATTTTCAAAGCTATTTAGTTTCCTGAAAACTCGATGAAAATGCTCTAAAATTGTACTGAGGATATGCTACAGCATTGCTAAACATGTATGGTAGAAATGAGTGAAATCTCAAAATGTCAAAATCTTCGATGAACCGCTGCTCGCGAGCCAGGGATTATCGAAAGAATCAAAATCTTCGGATCCCATTTCTTCTTTTGAAAACATGCTCAGCAGTATGGTAGTATATCTTCAGTACAATTTTGCAGCGTTTTCATTGATTTTTCAGGAAGATAAATGGTTTCAAAAATGTGAGGTGATCCCCTATGGATCCGCTGGGGATCACACAAAATGGTAAAAAACCAATCTTGTCGGCAGTAATCTGGCATCCGTTATGCGCAGGTATCAGTGTATGAGAAACTTCATAAGCAAGATAGAAACGAAGAAGAAAGATACGTAGAGTGGCGAGATATGACGCTTTCCCTCTCAGATCCCCTCCCCTCCCCGCGGAAATGTACGTGCATACGGCCTTAGTCTACCTCCTCATCTCTTGGAGACATCGCAGTTCCTACCGATCCCATCCTCTGCAAAATCAGAACTTTCTGTGTCAATATGTTCTTCGCGCTGGCACGGGAATTGACAGATGTGCTTCGAAGTAAACAAAAGGCTTGTTTACTTCGAAGGGGGAATGGTATGACACCAAAATTGGTGTGTAGATGCGCAACTTGGAGGTGTAACTATGTAGAAAAAGTATGAAGTACTTAGTTAGGTAGAAGACAGAACTCAACCACGTAAAAAAGATATAATTCGACCTAGTAAAGGGCATACGTCAAGCGATTTTATTGCCTCGCAATTCTCTGACAACCGAAATGCAAGATGATCAACATAACATGGTCTCTTAGCAGTTGTCTTGCGGGAGGATCGGGGAGGAGGGGGGGGGGGGGCTGCGTGATGTGAGCTCGACTGGCCTCGGCTATTGTATGGAACGTTCCTCTCCCGTCCCACATCTCTACCTATGACCTAAATATGAGGTGCGAAACTTTACACATCTTTGCAGGTATTCGCACCCTGCGTCCAAGCATTATCTTATTAGAACTCGCTCATCCATGTATTGGTCATTCGGAAAGTTTTATCGTTTTTGCACCATATTTGAACGAGCACATTCCAGATCCAACCTTTTTCCATCAAATAAACTTCGTTTTGTTCAGTACATTTCTGGCTACACTCCTGGAGTGCTCTTGCGCTTTTACCTTGCGAAATAATCTCAGCAGAATCATTAATCAAAAGGCGTTTTTGACTAAATAATTTTCACTGGACCCTATTATTTTTGGACAGACAGCATGAAACTAGCAGAATTGGGGATTGGTAAAGGATTTGTAGAGTTTCAAAATGAACAGAAACCTCGATTCGCATTAACAATTTTTGTGAGAGCCGCCTTTCTTCCATGAGGTTTCGCGGCATTACTTGCGAAGATGGCACCTCGAATTATTGAACGTGCAAGTCTGCTTAGTTTTGAAATTCTGACAAATGGTCTTCAAGCCGATATCACACTACTGAGCTCTGACTGTACAACTGTATCTCAGGAAGTTCATAGTGTACAAGAACAGCAGGATTGAAGTGATTTGAGTTCATCACCATTTGGAGTGAGTGATCATACATGGCCATGCTTTTGATCTTCATATAATTTTTCACAGTGCCGCTTCTTGTCTTGACCCATTTTTACTATAAATAATAATTCAGGCCAAAAAGGAATTGCTATATCATATTATGAGCAACGAGGGCAAAGAAACCGCGCTCTTAACCTGCTGGTGCGAAAATTTGTATGGTATTTATTTGCTGACATTTTTCGGCTTTGCACATTTTGCGAAAGTGGCTGCTAATGGGGTTACGTGACACTTCAAGGGCGGCTGATAATTTTACTTACTTAGATACTTAGATGACCCGTCTTCACGTGGCGTGCGGACCCCAGCACAAAAGTTGCCATTTGTCCCTGTCCCTCTCTTCACATCCACGATCATCTTGGTTGCCGGGTGGCTGCGTCCACTACCTCCAGGTGCGATAATCGTAACCAGCTGATATGTCAGGTGGTCGGTGGTCCACCCGTTCCACGAACACGTCTGCCCATCTCGTTGGTGGTCTTCCTCGGACACGTTTCGCTTCGCGAGGAATCCACTCAGATGTTCTTAGTGTTCAGCTGTCGTCTGTTCTTCTCATGATGTAAACGGCCCATCGGTGTTTCTTTCGCAACGTATTCTAAGTCACGAAAGCAGGACATTTTTCTCTCATATCCGTACTGCGAAATCCGACTAGATGTTGCTTGTGTCGGGTTATCTTCAGAAGACTGCGTTCGAACGCTCTGTGTGTGGTCCGTAAAGCTTTCGACGTGGCTCAAGTCTCACCTGCGTAACAGAGCACCGGGAGAACGGTTGCGTCGGTGGGCACGAAGCTCCGGGTCCGTCAGTTGGTCGGTGGCTTCCTTCAGAAGCCCGAAGGCGGCCCAAATGCCTTCTTCTCCTGTTAAGTTCTTTCCTCAAGTCGTTCTCCATGTTCATCGAACGTCCGAGATACACGTAAGAAGACGTCTCCGTGATAGGGGTGCCTTCCAATTCCATTTCTGCATCTTCGCAAAGGGCGTTCTTCATGAACTGAGTCTTCTTCCGATTTATCCGCAGTCCTATCTTCTTCCCTATTTTGTTTAGTTCCTTCAGCATCGTTTCTGCTTCAGTGATACTGTTCGAGAAGAGAACGATGTCATCCGCAAAACGAAAGTTGGACAGGAATCTCCCATCAACTCGTATGCCTCTCTCGTCCCAGTCCAGTTCATCACCCATTGTAAGGCCGCGGTGAACAGCTTCGTCAAAGTAGTATCACCTTGTCGAACCCCTTTTCGATTGGAATGGTCAGGGGGCGATGTAATAGCTGCATCGTTGTTGTACAGTCCTTGTAGCAGTTGGTTAATGTCCTCACGTAGGCTGGGTCCACTCCTTGATCGACTAGCGCTGACAGGATGGCGTTGGTTTCGACGCTCTCGTAATCGACGAAGGTTAGGACGAGAGGCAGTCGGTACTTCCGGCAGACTTCTATTACTCTGGAAACCGTCTGGATGTGGTCCATGCAGCTAAATCCTTTGCGAAATCCAGCTTGTTCTTGGGGTTGGGCTTCTTCCAGTGTCCTAAATATGCGAGCGAGGATAATCTTCGTAAAAAGTTTGTAGAGCACTCGGCAGGCATATTGGACGGTAGTTCCGAAGATCCTCCCGTGCGCCCTTTTTAAAGAGAAAGGCGGTTCTTGACGTTCTTTGCTGGTCGGAAATCTTCTCCTTCTGAAGATAAGACGTCAAATGCGACGAAAGAACCTCGTGTAGACGATGTCCTTCGGCTCGCAGAAGTTCGACGGAAAGATGATCTGGTCCTGGAGCCGTGGACGTCTTCATGGTCTGTATCGCGTTAAGCACTTCAGCAGGCAAAATCCTTGGTGGTACTTCTTCAGTGGAAACAACGGGTGTCGGCACGGGCTTGATGAGCGGAAGAGGTTGGTATAGAAGTTCTTCGCGATAGTTTCCATCTTGTATCGGGAAAAAGTCGGAGTTCCGTCTTCGTTCAATGGTGCGGCCAGCAGCACGTGATATTCACAGAGGTCCTTCGGCATTTCTTGAAACTTCGTCTTCCTTCGGCTGCTTCCAGTACCTTGGCTTGCCTGTACTTCCTGAGATTCTCCTGCAAAGCTGTTCTGGCATTGGTTATCAGTCGCTCGAAATGGGTTGCATTTGGATCCTGCCCCAGAAATCTTCTTCTTTCGAGCAATTCCTTGGTGGTCTTCGAAATACGTTCCAAGTTCTTTCAGAATTCACTGAAGCGCACTCTCCGCAGGCTCGCAATCCTTTCAGAAGCCGGTCGTAGTCGTTGGGTCCTCCTCGATGGGCGAGTCACAATTTGATATGAGCTCTTCCAGCCTATTACCGTCATAAACGACATTCCTCCTTCTTGCGGTACTGTGACAGACTTTCTTTTCCAGCCTGCGACTGGATCGTATCTTCGCTCGAAGGAGGCGGTAATCGGAGCCACTGCAGAAGGATGGAACTACTGAGACATCAAGCAAGCTCCACCTTCGGTTGGTGAGAATGTGATCGATCTTCGCTTGAGTCGTTCCGATGGGCGATTGCCAAATCTACCGGCAATGTTCCTTTTTCATGAAAATGGAATTTCCATGGAAAAGTCGTGCGGTGGAGAGAAGCCCAACGAGACGGTTGCCGTTTTCGTTTCGAAGCCCATATCCAAACTTCCCGATCCGATACTCCTCTTCTAGTGTCATCCCGATCTTCACGTTGAAGTCGCCCACAACGAACTTGTGGAAGGACTCTTCGTCGCAGACGACGTGCTCCACGTCTCCGTAGAAAGCGTCTAGTTCTGATTCGTCAGCTGCTGATGTTGGTGAGTAGCAGTTGATGATGCTGATGGTCTTCTGAGTGGAGGTCGTAGGCGTAGGATGGCTAGTCGAGGTGGCAGAATCTTATGCGAATCGACAAAGTGGACGACAGATGGGTGGGCGACAAAACAATGCCTCCAACGTTTCGTGATGGAACCTTTTCACCACAAATGATGAGAGTCCCATCACTCATCTGTCGCACGTCCTTCTTCCTGGACTTCCTTTCCTGCAGAGCGATGATATGGTACTTGATGTGCTCTGCAGCGTCGAGAAGAGCGTGGAAGTCGACGTTTGTGGAGACTGTCCTGGCGTTGTAGGTGCAGAGCATGAGGCAGTCTCCATGGCGTACTCGCAGACGTGTCGTCTTTGTCCAATCCGAAAGGCGCCCTGAGTACCCTGACACTGTTTTCGCTACCACCCTGCGCCGTAGGCGGGATCCGATGTGCAGGGTTTATACCTCTTCTTTTTGCTGATCGAGTAATAAAAATGGTTTCCCTACAAGAGCAGACTTACTAGGCCAACTCTTGATTTTCGCGTGGCGATCGCTGACTTCGAATGTAGAGGGAAGGACCACTTAGCGACCAGAAGAAGCCATACGGCGGGGGATTTGGCGTGGCCGGTTCTTAGCTAGGCATTCGGCCAAAACCGGATACGTCGAACTCCTTCACAGCTTGGGAGGCCCTACCAGAGTATACACTCGGCTGTGCATCGCAATTCGACACCCAGTGTCACCCCCAGGCCACGATGAGGCGACCGACCATTGTGGGGGATAATTTTATGCACCTGTTTTTGCTAGTTGCTCTAAACCACCCTCTGAGATGCTCGCCTCAGTAGCCTCTTTCAGAACCTTGCAAAAACTGTAGCCTTCACTTTTCTAGAAGTGAATTTTTTGGAGCAATTAAGCACTAACCTTGAGAAAGATGCAGCCTTGCCAATGGCAGTGCGCACAGTGGTGGCTCCTTCAACTGCCTTACATACAAGTTTGAGTTTATTAGAGAACACAATTATTTGAAAATCGCATTTTTACATGTCGATTTTATAGGCGCCTAAACTTCTCTAAAAAGCGATTTTTGCAAGCTTGGTGGGATACTCAGAAACTAGAGATCTTTCCCTACATATCCATATACAACGACCCCTATCAGCCCTTTCGCATTCTTTCAAAACATGGCACCAGTCCTAAAGGCGCAAAAAGCAAAAAACCTCCCGAATGACCTAATCGTACTAGTGTTGACGCTGCACACGTCCCGCAAACGTGCGCGTGTGTGACGTTTTGGGCCAGATCATTCAAATATTATTTTCTACCTATAGCATACATACACAAATACAAACGTGCAGTTAACTGTATGCACGTTCTGCATCAAAGCATAAAGAGGAGTTCGGCGGAGGCCGTGCGCCCCTCAAGATTACGAGACCACAGAAAGCGCAAACGAAATATTACTTTAGCGCTCAGCTCAGCAGTCAAGCATTCGGAAGCGATCAATGCATGCACCAAAATCTCTGAATAGTGAACAATATGATGCGATTATGGGAACTCATAGCGGCGTACGTGACGCTGCATTGTCACGATTTTGTATTTTGTATTGCCTTCTATTTTGGTAGTCAAAAAAATTTGTGCCTTCGCATATTAGTTCGATGCTTTTGAAGTTCTTTTGCATTATTCGACGCCTCTTTTTCTTCTCTTAATAGCAACTTTTCTCAATGTTCGCGAAAACTGAAGAAAAATCACCATTCTAACTTTGCAAGTGCTAATGTTCGTTACAAAGAATCTCAGAACACTGTTACGGTGATAATTGCTATCTGGCTTGAATCAGATTTGGTTATAATTATCTTAGAAAGCTCGGCTAAACTTACCACGTATTATGGTAAAATAATGTAACGCAATTTTGCGCACAACTTTTGAAAGATTGTATTGGTGCTATCTGAAAGGTCATAGAGATGAAAAGAAGTACTGGTCATTAGCTTTTCAGAAATGAAATAAAGTTTGCGATGGCCAAAAACCAAGGCAAAAACGATGGGTCGGAGTTGTGATTATGTGATCAGTTACGGGATAACTTAGAAAATACAATCATTAGAAGAAGAAAAAATTCCTGCACAGGATGGCACATAAAGGGGTGGCGGACTTTATGAACGATAGCGCGCGCTTCATGTGTCAATAAGGCGCGCACCGTTAGCCCCGCCTATCGGTAAATGGACGAGTTCCCTGCAGTACAGCTTAAGCACTGGTTCACGACCATGCTTTTAAGGTTACCAAAAGCAGCTCCTGATAGGAAAGTATGAACTTGTTGTTAAACTAGGGAAAAGCTTGGCTATCTATACAGGGTAGTGCAAAAGTCTGGGAGCCTACATTGCAGTGCTGTAAATCAAGAAACTACTGATGCTTCTGACTCCAAATCTGAGCCACATATTGCTGCGATCATCCTCTACAAATCACACTTTGGCTGGCTGAAAATGCTTGCCATGTGTTTTTGTAGGAATTGATTTATCAAATGAGTGCTCTGCAAGGCGAGAAAACTGAAATTTTTGGTCTTCAGATCTTATTTCGTAGCTAAGGATACAGTGGATAATTTAAAGCACTTCGATGCGTACAATGTAGAGTAGACTTTGCGTTATTAATTCGTAATCGTTGCGTTTGTTAGATACTATTCTTTCGAAAACGCAAAATAAAAATTTGCGAATACTACCTGCGCGCCAGTGGCTATTTTTCTTTAGAATAAGAAAGCTATAGGAGCACAGCAGGCATTGAATTCTGAGGCTATATTCTTTCCATGAGTCTTCTATGCAAGCATACACTTAAGTTCGATCGATTAAGCAATTTCAACACTTTTCAGATTACGATTCTTTGCTCTCGTTCTGCAATCGCATCCAAATTTTCAGTATACGAGTACACTTGCCTTCGATTAAAGTTTTTTCCCTAAACATTGCAAAAAAATTCTTTGCAGTGCTTGTAGCCAAAAGCTTGCTCTATCATACCGTGCATTTGCCTGGTAAAAGAAACAGTTGTCGTAAAGGCGTGGAACGAATTTTATTATGACTGTCTGCATGCCACGACAGGGGGACCCGCCAAGATTTTGAAGGGCTGCTTTGAAGCCAGAAAAGGCAATCTCAAAATTTGAAAGCAGCGCTGCATTTGTAGAGGTTCGATTTATGTGTGCACCGAATTTCTTGTTCCTGGGCCTTTCCTTCTGATTTTATCTGAAAAAATACTAGGCTTTCAGACTTTTGCCCCACCCTATAGAATCTTCTTTTCCTTTATTTATTGAATTGAAGAGCTAATGATGTGTTGATTTTGAAATTTAAGAGATTTGCCGATTTACTCATGAATGGCAGAGTAACTCTTGGATATTCAGCTTTGAAGTGTGAAATCAATATAGAATACCTCAGGCATGATTGTGTGAGTGATCTCATATTTGTAGGCAAGTTCACAATTTTTTCAAGTTCAGTACACAAGTTCACAAGCAATCTCGCATTCATCGATTGATTTGTATTGGAGGTAGTACTTTTCGGAACTAAGGCAAAAGCATCTTTGATCATTGAAAGTAATTACCTACACCAGTTATGAACTGCTTGGAGCTAAAACTCCTCGCTTTTAAGTTCGCTAAATCATTCAAAAGATATTACGAAATCCGTCTTTGATCTTGGTTACGTTCTTGGACTAACTCTCAAACAAAGCTGAAAGTTGTGATGGTTAAATCGTTCCGTAATGAAATAATTTTTTTGAGAAGTTGATTTCTTTTCGAACGAAAGCTTTAAAGTTTTTAGAATGGAATATTTAAGTGAAAAATGTAAATAGCACAGAATAAGTAAATTTTTTAAGTAATTTCCAAACAATGTTCTCTCAGAGTTCCAGTGGAATGATTGATCTGGACCATATAAAGTGTTAGCTTGCATCAATTTTAAGGGATATGCAAGTAAGTCTAAAAGGCACAAACTTTTAGGTGGATCTGATATGCTAGATTCGGCGATTGAGTGATGCAACTTTTTATATAATTTTTTCTTTACAATTTAGCATAATTAGATATATTAACATTATGTAGATACGTAAGCTGCCGATGCAGCCATTGTTCTTCTGAATTTGCCATCATGATGTGTTACTTTGTATATACGGCAGAGTTCTATACCTGGGACCGAATCGAATCGAATCGATTTATTCGATCATTAAAATAAATCATTCGAATGCGAATGATTCGAAAAGTCGAATTTTGAAAATCTGACAAGGAAAGTGTGTTTAGTCGAAGTGGCCTTTCCAGATGAGACCCATACTGCTTTGAAGAGCATTAGGCGGTGATTCCAAATCTGCCTTCCAAATCTGCTCAGCGCCTCTGGACGCCGAGTTATGGGTGTTTTTCGAGAAAAAATTGAACGCAAAACTTTAACAAAATCGCCAATTTGCTCAAATGGTCCAATGTCAAGTGTCAGAGCCGTTCATGCAATGGATACATTTTGTCTAATATGCTAATACTTAACACTGCTTTATCTGAGCGCTGGAAAGATTGTAACAATCGATTTTTCCTAAATTTTGCATTCATTTTTCGCTCAAAACGGTCATAACTCGGCGTCCAGAGGCGCTGAGCAGATTTGGAAGGCAGATTTGGAATCACCACTTAATGCTCTTCAAAGCAGTATGGGTCTCATCTGGAAAGGCCACTTCGACCACACACGCATCCCTTGTGAGATGTATTAGGTCGGTGCAAAAGTTTTGTCAGTTTTTTTAATCCATCGGCATCGCGCTAAATGAAGATAAACGAACACTTCAAAATGCATTCGATGCAGAATTTCTTCCTCTTTCTAGATACTGAACTCACACTTGTTTCTTTGAGAGAATGATGAGATATTTGCTGAAAATTGCAACCATTAGTTTTTACCATGTCCAAATTTCACTAATTTTCAAAATTTTTGTATGAGACTTTCGGAGGATTCCTAATAACCACCAGATAGAGCAAACCTTTTGCCAACGTATGCAATTTTTTTTCAGCTGCTTTTTCGGATTTTTGCTAAATAATTTTATAATAGTCTTGTGTTGTGGAAAGATCGCATAACCAGTAATCGCACCAAGCACTGCAAATCCTACGGAATACTGAGGTTTCAACACTCGATTATTACTTTTGCTACCATTACAAAGTATATGAGCGATTTTCGCTTCAAATTATCAATATTTTGAAATGTAGGTTACTTCAGTGCGTACTCCTGAAATTGAGAAATACTGCGATTTTCCCCGCAAATTTCGCCTGTCTCGGCAAAAAAGATAAGTGTTAGAAGGAGGAGAAAAAGTTGCATCGAATGGTGATTAAAGTGTTCGACATTTTGTGTTCTACAAGGTTAAGATAGGCT